TTGGTGAGACAGGAATATTAGTGCAAAATGCGCTTCATTGTCATTTTCAACATTCTCGTATTTTATATGAGAGACTTGGTAATTAACTATATCTGCAGCCCACCACCAAAACGCCATTTTCGCTAATAAACGTTAAGAATTTTTAAAATGGTTACTGACATAAACCGAGGACCCTTTAGACTAATTAGCATATTTAATGGTCGGTTCTACACTTGAGATATTCCAAGAGTTCATATCTTTCTCTATTAAACATGTTTTATAGGTGGCTAGAAGAGAACCCAGTTTCGTATTCGAAGTTTCCACGTTAGGGTTCTAGTAAGGGTAGCAAGTGGGTCGGTCCATGTCCGGGTCCGGGACCGGCCCATGACCGCGGGTTAAGTGGGCTAAGTGGGTCGGGACCAGTAGAATCGCTAGAGGTGGGCTTGGACAGGTCTCGTGGGACGGTTCATGAGTAGGAGCCGTTAGGACCGGGACCGGACCAGTCCCTTGGTGGGCCAAACGGGCCCAACGGTAATTTTTTTAAAAAAAATAGTCGTTTGGCTATTTAAAAAAAGAGTTGTTGGGCTTTAAAAAATAGTCGTTGGCTATTTAGAAAATAATCATTTGTAAAACTTGTGGTATAGAATAAGCTTTTAAATATTTTGGATTGCGGGGGGGACGAAAACTTTGACTAGACACATAAAACAATACCCTAAAGATAGAGTCAGATATGAACGTCTGAAAGCTTTGGCCGAGGGAAAAAGTGTACCTAGTCCTAGTCAGACTGACCCTAGTACCGGTTCAAATCAATTTCAACCGAGAATTAACACTGTTACCGGTGGTATTTTATATTATGAACCAAAAAAAAATCGGGAAGAATTGGCAAAAAATGGTAATTGTTATGTGCTTACCCTATAGTTTTCCTTCTGACCCTTCGTTTGTGCATTATATTAGAAAATTTTTTAATCCTACTTATAAATGTTTTCCTCGCACAACCGTAAAGAGCGATATTTTTAAATATAAGCATGAATATGAACAATATTTGCGCTATTTATTTACTCATATAAATTGCCGTGTTGCTATTACAACTGATATTGGTAGAAGTGGCAACGACTGTGATTACCTTACTGTTACCAGTCATTGGATTGATAAGGATTGGATAATGCAAAAGCGCATAATTGCTTATAGAATAATTGCTTCACGTCACACATGGCAGTATATTGCTAGCATAGTTACGGATATTTGCAGATATTTTTGCATTAGTGATAAAATAATGTCGGTTTCAATGGATAATGCTACTAATAACACAAATGCTATAGACTTGATTACCACTACACTAAATCCAGCATTTAGTAATATTTTTCATATTAGATGTATTTGTCATATTTACTATTTAATTGTGGGTGATGGTATGAGAATTTTAAATATTCAAATTGAAAAGGTTAAAATGGCTCTTAACTGGCTTTTTCATTCAAACTGTAGAAGTAAACTTAGAGAATATTTTAAAAGATGCGATGAATGTGGCATACAAGAAAAAAAGGTTCCTAAACCTTGTCCAACTAGATAGAATTACATATATGAAAGTTTGATTATTGCATATGAATATAGAAACCCCATAAACTCAACGTTTAATGCACATGTAAGTGATGATGATGAGTACCTTACGAATGGGGATTGGTCTAATATTAAAATGCTTGTTGATTTTTTAGAAAAAATTCATATTGCTACAAATGAATTTTCTGGGCAATATTATCCTACTATTTCTAATTGTTTAGTTTATATTGCAGAACTTGCAAATCTTTTTGCTCATTTTTCAAAGGGTGTGGAAATTTATAAACTTGCTATTGATTCTATGAGAAAAAAGTTTTAAAAATATTTTTTTCCCTATTCCCCATATTTATGATGTTGGTGCTTTGTTAAATCCTTGTATGAAATTAGGAGGTCCTTAATTTTAATATGAAACAGTTTATAATGGTTTAGCAGTTGAAGATGATGAGTTGCCTAAACTTCCGGAAGCAATAGCCTCAATTAAAATAAATGCTCAAACAATTTATAATGCTTATCAAGTTACATTAAATAATGCTAGACCAAATGTTCCAACTCCTTCTTCTTCTGATTCTCAATCATCTAAAAGAACTGCGGAAGTAAGAGCACTTAGGGCTTGGGCAGGGTTTAGGGGTTCTTTTGGTTATAGTATTAATGATTTTTCACAACTAAATGAGCTTAAAGTTTATTTGTCGCAGCAAATTGAGGAAGTGAATCCCGACAGCTCCTTTAATATTTTGCAATGGTGGAAAGAAAAAGAAAAATACTTCCCGATCCTTTCAAGGATGGCCCGGGACATTTTAACTATTCAAGCTTCAACAGTGACATCGGAGAGCGCTTTCAGTCAAGCAAGACTTCAACTCGGTGATTATAGAGCGTCTATGAGCGAGAGCTTAGAAAAATCGGTACTTTTTAGAGATTGGATCCGTTCGGAAAGAAGAAATTTTAGACTTGGTGAATCACAACCAGAATAAGATGAAGCTTACGAAGAAATGCTAGCTGAACTTGTTGAGGATGCTGCTTCGTCCGACGATGGAAGCGACGATGACCAAGTTACTTTTCCGCCACCACCAACGGAACTTCCTCCGAACCTTGAAGGATTTATGAAGTTTGTAAGAGATACCATGTAACTTGTATGATCAAAAATTAGTATGTATTATGTAACTTGTATTTTGGCACATCTTGATTAGTTTCTTTTTCTTTTCAATAGTGGTATTAGCACATTGTTGTGCTCATTCCATAGGGGGGAGGAAGACTAAGAAAGATATTGTCATTTTTTTTAATGTTATAATAAAATTACAAGGCATTGCTTTGAATATCTTTTTACAATATTTTTGTCTTTAAATTTGAATTAAAAAATTTAGGTCACAATTCTATAATAAATTTACAAGCCATTGCCTTAGATATTTTTTTAACATCTTTTTGTCTATAATTTCTATTAAATTTATTTTTTTTAAATCACTATTTAGCCGTTGAGCCCACTTAGCCCATTTTATCCCGCGGGCCCGGCCCGTTTAGCCCGAGACCATGAGTTCGTGTGTCCGGTCCCGAGCCGGTTTCTACAAACAGGCCGTTTAGCCCGGGACCGTTAAGCCCGTTTATTTAGGGACTGGCTCAAAACTGTGGCCCACGAGTCCGGCCCACTTGGCCCGTTTAGGGACCGGACCAGCCCACGTACCACCCCTAGGTTCGAGTCTCTCAATAAGCAGTGGCGGTTTAGTTCATGGTCCACTAAAACACTCACTTAATAGTGTTAATTATAACTTATAAGGGGTATTGGATTAATTTCTCTTGCATCTCCCTGCGTAATTGATGACTATATTCCTTCTTGGAGCAATAAAGATGGAATTTGAGATAAATTAATGATGTCTATTTATTCTATAGTGACAAATATGTTGAGAAACAAATTTGTTTTACTAAAGTGATAGATAAAAAGCACAGAGAGCGTATCAATGTAACATCAACATTAAAGCAGAAAATTAGAATATTCCAACTTGCAACTCAGCCTTTAAATATATAATTTGCTCATTACGTTGTAAATCAACCGTAAATTAGTGCCCATTTCTCGTTGCAAATTGACATTCTAGATTGAACTTGTTGCAGGGTTTAAGCTTCTTCATCTGCTTTTTAGTTTTTAAATTTTTCTTTTTAAAGATAAATATGTCAACAATTTGACTTTGAAGTTTTCCGCTACAATTTGTAAGACCTTTAGAAGTCAAAGCAACTGTAACTTATTTTTGGTTTAGTGGGATGTTTATCGAGAAAAACTGATAATCCATCATTTGGTGCGAAAATAGCTGTGAAATAATGCTTTTGGAACTGAATACAGAAGTCGGCTGGGAAAATGGGCATAACAATGATTTAATTTTTATCGACAATAAACTTTTCCTTGGTGTAATAATGACATCAAATTAGGAGGAACAGTCTCAAACAGATAAACTTTTTCTTTCTTTTCTCTGTTTCTTAAGGGAAATTTTGTCCGAGGACAAGGGAAAGCAAATTTCTAAAGCACCTACGAGGAAATAATCGACAACCTCTCAATTAAAGAACAAGCGTATTCTTTATTCTTAGCAGATAGTACAGCTCTTGATCCAAATAATTTCTTGGTTTAATATCTTTAACATCCAATTTTAAAATAAGTCCAAACAAATTGCATTTCCCTGTTTTCTTCAGCAGCAGCGTATTGGAACTTTATCTTTGACTGAACCAACAAGCAGTTCTGCCGAAATAGGACCTCATTGTTTTTTCCACAAAAAGGTGGGTACAACAACTGCACTCTATACTGAAGCATTTGTTTTTTTTCCTTTTACTCTCTTTTGTGCGCAGAAGAAACCTGTACAAGCGGGAAAAAGGACTCTCATTCTTGGTTTTGTTAGACGCTTTTGTTTCTATCCCTAAAAGGCTGATCATACAAATTTTTTGAACCAAAACACTAGTGCTAATAGCTAGTTCTAAGACACAACTCACCAGCTATTCTTTTTCCTACCCTTTAAACTGCTATAGATATAGCTCCCATTTGCCCATATATTTTGGCTTCATTTTTCCAAAAAACAAATTGAAAAAATTATTTGTTTATAAAATATGATAATATTTTGGGGGAAAAAAATTAAAAATTTTCAAGTTCCTAAAAACTGGTTTAGGGTTAGTTTTTGGATAAAAATATTTTTTCCATTCACAAAACTTCAACTTTTCTTCAAATAAAATGCATGTCCAAACACAACTTCAACTTTCAAAAATTATTTTTCTAATAACTTCAAAAACTCTTTTTTCAAATTTCAATCAAATCTATGTTCAAATACTAGCATAGTCTCAAGAAAATTGAACATCTCAACAGGAAAAGAGGACAGGCTTAGAACTTGTAAGACCAACAGACGACATGGCCCTCCTCATTTTTTTCTCTTCTCCTTTTGCGTGTCAAAAGAAATATAGAGATAAAATAACATTATGTATTGTGAGCCGAGATTTTCAACAGCCGATAAAGCAAAGGTCAAACGCCCTCACCATTTGCAGTTAAGTTACATACCAGTTACCTCATCTTATGTTAGGGAAATATATGACAACAGAGATTGGATAGGTGATGCTCATAATTATTTCTTATTAACAGCTGATTAGTAACAACCACAAAACCCCTTCCGCTAATTGGTTGAAGGTAACCAAGAATAGCCTGAGCAGTTCATATAAAATCAGTTCAGTGCATAGATCAGGACCAATGTATCTAAACAAGGCATAAACTATCCCGTTTCAGAAAAGCATAAGCAACTCCCAGAATGATAAGTATTAATTGAACCGCAACTATTTTTGGAACATTCTGGCATATGCTTTTTTCTCCTTGTCACGTCTATCAGCAATCTATCAGAAGGAAAAAGAAAGAAACGAAAATAAGTGTATGACAAATATGCTCCTACTGCCCGAGGAAAAAACTAATGTTGGTATGTGTTTAACAACAGCTGAGTCCCATATGCTAACCTTCTTTTTAGCAGCAGCAAGCTGATTTTTTATTCCTCCTGAAAATTCATGTCGAAATAAGTCAAACTATAGAAAAAATGACCTACAAGTGTAATTAAGCAATTACTACTGTTTATCCCCATCCAGCTATCACTACTGTTCTCATGGAGCTAATCACGCCACCTATGATATAATTAAACAATTCTTACAACATTAAAGTAAACACGTCCTTACATTCACCTAAGGGTATCACATCACAGTTTAACATTTTTTGATAATTATTGTTCCAGTCGGTGTTACTTCCAGTTTGGTAACAAAAACATGTCCAAACCTACTAGCTCTTATCACAGTTTAAAGTGAATACTCCGATGTAAAGGAAGAAAAAAAAGGTTAACAGATTAACCAGAAAATGAATACAAAACAAACTATGGAAATCTCACTAACCATCGTTTGGCTCCAGCTCCAACGCTTTCATAAAACTTTCAACTGCAGCATCTATGTCATTAAGAGCCATGTGAGCCTGATTGGTCAAGTAAGACATACATTATTGAAGAGGACAGAGGAGCCATTGTAAGGAGTGACAGAAAGCTGTGAGTAAACATGGATGACCAACCACTGTAGCCATAATGACATATAAAAGCTAAAAAGCAGCTACGACAATTGCGATTAAACAGCAGATACATGCAACTTAACACTAACCATACCTTGACCAACCCCCCCCCCCCCCCCCCAAACACCCCAAAACAAAAGAAATGTTGCCTTTTTAACCGTCGATGAACATGTCGAATAGCTCACATTTTCAACAAGCTTTTATAGCAAAATAATCTCCAGAATAAGCACCAGAAACCACAAGAATGACACATCCCTGCACCTTCTGAAACTTTTGAGAGAAAAAATTTGCAACACTAGCTGCTTACAGTGGTACTTACAGGTTTAACCAAATAATGAACACCCTAATCAGTGCCAAGAGAACTAAGATATCCATGCCCTACCACACTATTAATCTAGAGAACCATCAGTTGGAAAAATTAATCACCGGCAAGTGCCAAAATAAGGTACGTTCAACTTTGTAGACCACTAACAACTCCTTTATCAAGAAAAGCAGAAACCACTCAAGTTAGATTGTAAAGCTGTTAGGTATATATATCTATTACTTCCATACTTGGGTAGTGCTTGCTCAGCACTAGAGCGAAAAGGCTTGCAATCTAATTTATATCAACCAGTCCAAAACCCAAAATAACAAACAGGTTATTGGATAGTTAAGATGATCAAAGCTGCTGCAGAAACCAAAAACCCTTGATAGATACTAACCTGCCCCTGACGAAATAGAGCTTTCGCATTGTTTTCTCCGTCCCTCATTGCAAAGTCAGCATCTAGGAGTGCTCCCTTCAGATCTCCCAGCTTTAGTTTACAAGCCTGGTTATACATGACAAATATCAATTATGTGGTTTGGTTGGTTAATCGGCAAACTAATATGAAGTTAGAAAGCTTGACAACTGGATTCATGAAGCAATGGTTGAAGTTCAACTCAAGTGATGAAATTAGAAACATGTGGTCTCAATTAAAGACAAACATGCATTAAGCAATGAAGCAATTATAAGACGTGAAAGCAAAGTGGAACTAAGATAAAGAGGAAAGCGCAATTAAAAGGAATTGATACATTTATCATAATAATGGACTTTATTTTGCTCTGTCCCTCTACCATCCTGAAATGATCTTGACATAGTAAAACTAAATTACCGTCATTTGTAACAAAAATCAGAATAATGGACTTTATTTTGCTTAGTCCCCCCTCATCTCTGAAATGATCTTGATGTAGTAAAAATTTACTACTGCCATTTGTAACAAAAATCAGAGTAGGTGGGTTGTTACCAACAAGGAAAACCCTAATTATTGCCTACAATGTAACTTCAGTAGAGCAACAACCAAAAGCAGTAGAGTGGGGACTCACCGAACTGTTGGTAAATATCTGTGATTTCATCTTTCTCAAATATGCGCTCCTGTCTGCAAGAAACAAGCAGACACTAGCAAAGTTACAAGTCATATGGCAACAGTTTCTACAGCATATCCCTATTTCACAAGCAGATATATATGTTTCAGAGCCAATCAAGTTACGAAGATTTTGCAATGCCAACCTTCATCTATCTCTTCTTTCTCCCAGCAGATATCCAAATAGCGCAAAGCTTTTCGATACTTCCTAAGAGCCATCTTGTAATCTTGTTTCTACAGGAAGAAGCTTGGCATACATTAGAAAGATAGCTAAAAAAAATATAGTCAAATGTCAATGAGAAAAAGAAGCAAGGGTGTGCAACAGTTAATCGCATGATGTTGTTGTAAAATTAATACCTTAAAATTTTCATTACCAAATGCCTTAATAGCCTCAAGGGCGGTGACCCACCAAGAGATATCATCAGTATTGTTGTCAAGATCAGCAGGCCAATCAGGATATAGATCTCCGTCTTTGAAAAAATTTGCAATACCATCATCAGCCCCCTCAGGAATTTCTCCGCAATCCGCTATACTGACATCTACCATTGGGAAATCATTATCACCAGTAGTCACATGTTCCATAGAACGAACAACCCCCATTCCTTTGATTACTTTCCCAAAAACTACATGTTTTCCATCCAGATGGGATGTTCGAGTAGTTGTGATGAAAAACTGAGATCCATTGGTGTTAGCCCCAGCATTAGCCATAGATAACATTCCTTTTCTTTCATGCTTCAATTCTAAATTTTCATCTTCAAATTTTAGCCCATAGATAGATTCTCCCCCAGTACCATCGCCAGCAGAAATATCACCACCTTGTACCATGAAGCTCTTAATCACACGATGAAAACGAACTCCCTGAAAGGTTTGTAAAGTGTTAATCATGAATTAAAGGATAGGTGAAGCATTTATCTAAATCTTCCCTTTCAATATACTCAAAGATAAGGAGCAAAAAACCAGTTGCCAAAGACAAACTTCAATATCATATACCAAGCCTCTTTGACCATATACAAGCAATCAGCAGCATATCTAAATCCAACTTGACTATCTACCACACAGTAAATGTACTTGACAAAAAGGGATTTCTAGAGTACAAAAACCAAGAGCTTAAGAGCATCCGCTGTCAAAATTCAAAAACCTTGCAAAAGTGATCTTCTCGAGGGAATCAAGTGAATTAAATAAAGTTCCTTAATTCACCAGTGCAGAGCAATTAGCAGACAGTTAATTTCCAAATCTGTGAGAAGCCAGCGATAAATAGCACTCAAATAATATTTCATCATTTTCTAGCAGGAAGGGAAAACATTTTCATCCTTCCCAGCAATGAAGCAAACATTCATAAGTTCTTGACATAAAACAAAATTCTCATTTCTTTCTAGTTGAGAAGCAAATAGTAATAGTCAGACGAAATCTCATCCTGCAGAATGGAAGCAGATATTTGTAGACACTTATGCTGCAATTAATTTTGAAACCAAAAAAAAGTTCTAATTTGTTAGGAGTGCAAGAGAAGTCAAAAAGTTGTATTGAGATCTACAATGGACAATATCCATATAGAACCACTAGATGAGGTCTTAGAATAAATGGCTATTAAATTTATCAAAATAGAACACCTAATTCAAAAGTACAAAATAGCTTGCAATCTGCTTGGAGGAGCAAATGTAGGGACGCTAAAGTAGAGGTAGAAAGACCCAATTTTTCTACAAGAGAATTTATAGAACCATACTAACCAATGAAAGAAAAGAAATTCAGTCACAATTTCTTAATCTATTCAGCCCCTTTAAAACCTTTCAGAACAATACACAAGCTTCACACGACATAAATCACAATAGACTTTACCGCATAACTCAGTCTTTATACAGTGTATACTTCCGATAAGCAAGAAAAGACTGATCAAATAGAAGTCCCATGAATTAAAAGCTTTCATTCCTGCTGAAATTCATATGGTTATATCCAATTTCATTTCCATTGGCAGTTCACAGCACCAAGAATCTTGAAAAGGTTCACCGGCAATTTCTTAGTCTATTCAGCAGTTTTACTCAGATCAAGAAACAAGCTTTACACAACACAAACAACAACAACAACAAACCAGTAAAATCGCACAAGTGGGGTCCAGGGAGGCTAGTGTATATGCAAACCTTAGCCTGCACGAGAGAATAAAGAGGTTGTTTCCGATAGAAACTCGACTTTACACAACACAAAACGCCACAAAATTCAAACTTTGATAGAATATATACTTGTTACAAGAAAAACAAGAGCGACCCAATAATTAAAAGTTGTTATCAGTTCAGAACTCCAAAAGGGTATATGTAATTTCATATCCATTAGTGACCAGGGATCTGGAAACATGCGTGCAAAGAAAGAATAAATAAACAAATAAATAAATAAATAAGATATATATATATATATATATATATATATATATATATATAGAGAGAGAGAGAGAGAGAGAGAGAGA